GGATAGATGTCCGCCGCTTCCCTGAGGTACGCACAAGGAAATCTTCTCGCCCTAGAATAATAAAAATCACCACCGCAAGTCCCCAGTTGAGGGACACCCTTCTTGACCACATGAAAAGTGGTAGGCTATCGTTGACTAGGCAATTTATTCATTCCTATGCACGCAAGGACTACACCCGTGAAGAACTTGAGTTTGATAGGACTTTGCGAAGAAAAGCCGGACTCATGAATCGTCAAGAAGGGAAGCTTTTGTATGTAGTGCGGGACTTACGGATCCACAAGCTCAAAAATCCGCGCGTATGGGCAGCTTCTGGTAATGTTTTGGATGGCAGTTTTCATGAAGCTACAGCGGAAAACCACAGTCCTTGCAGTTCTGCTTTACGATCAGGTACTACCTACTTGCCCAACCACGACTACCTCTCGCCAGCACAACCAAGCCCAGACCAGTCAATGCCTTCAGTTCTTGACATCAATCATGGAGCACTGGACCGTCTGGATCGCTAGGATACGGTGGTGGGTGCCAGTGACCCACGTAATTCTTCTGCCAGTTTTCCTTTTGTAGTTTTCGAATTGTTCCTTTTTGAATTCTTCAAATTGTTCCTTTTCGAATCGTCTCTTGTTGTTGAATGCACGCTCTATCACCAACAAAATTGCTGATCTTGAGATTCTCCTCAGTAAACGTCCTTTTTGTGTAGTCATTACTGAAACTTGGTGTAAGCCTCAGGTCATACATGATGCCGCCCTCAGTTTTTCGAATAATTATTGTGTTTATCGTTGCGATCGTGATGGAAAGCGTCCCGGTGGTGGGGTAGCTGTACTTTTCGCGTCCCATATGAAGCATTCGCTTATAGAAGCCAAGAATTTTACTGAATTTTGTCAATGCCTTGTCACTCAAATCACTTTTGTGAGCTGTGACTTATATGTCATAGCTGTTTATAGAAGCCCATCATGTAGCTTGGATGCACTTTGCTCCTTACTCGATTTTCTCAATCATTTTGTCGCTGAGCAACGTTATAAAGCCATTGTTTTGGGCGATTTCAATTTCCCACTTATAGATTGGGATAATATGACCACCAGAGACAACAGCTCAACAAATTCTGCTGCCAAATTTCTTGATTTTTGTTTAGCGCATTGTCTCTGCCAGCTTGTCACCACTCCTACTCACGGGCTCAATATTCTTGATCTGGTTATGGTTGATGATCCAACTATTATTGATGATATCAAAGTCATGGCACCGTTTAGTACCTTAGACCACAATATGATATGCTTGGAATTCGCCAGAAATCACATGATATTGAACCCCAAGGTGTCTTCCTGGATTTCCACAGTGCAAATTACAATGCTATTGTGCACGAATTTAACTTGTATAATTGGTACCAAATCTTTCATTGTTGTGCAAGTCCTGACGAATGCTATGGGATTTTCGTTTCTTTCTGCCATCGACTGATAAGAAAGTATGTACCGCTTCGCAGAAAGCATGGCGCAT